GTTGCTGTTGGCGTGGCCACTGGCACCATGGCCGAGTCGTGCAGGAGGGAAAACGGGTGGAAGGCTGTTTATCACTGTGAGGGGCCTCCGAGTTGTGCTGCCGCCCAGTTAGTTGGAGTGCCTGGGATTTCCTGGGATTCCCAGTTACTGAGCTGATTGCGCTGTGGCGCTTCCATCTAGCTGTGAGGCCCCTGCCCCTTTAAGATTTTCAAAGGGCACTCACTTGTTTTTTGTCCCAGGGGCGCTGGCTATGGGGACCCGCTCACAGTTCTTACTGTCCTGTTTCCCTAGTATCCAGCTAGGATATGCCCTGTGTGTCTGCGCTCCGGTTCAGATAGCTAGGGCTGGATATTTAGCAGTCCTGGGCTCCCTCTCCCTCCCCGTTCTGACTCCTTTCCTTTTGCCGTGAGCTGGGGTGAGGGGCACTTGGGTCCCGCTGGGCTGCGGCTTATATCTTACCCCCTTTGCGAGGTGCTGGGTTCTCGCAGGTGTAGATGTAGTCTGGCTGTTGTTGTGTGTCTTCTGGTCTCTCTTTTAGGAATAGTTGTATTTGTTGTATTTTCCAAAATATATATGGTTTTGGGAGGAGATTTCTGCTGCTCTACTCATGTCGCCCTCTTGTCTCTGCCTATTTGAAGTGTTTTAAAAGCTGATAAAATAATATCCTCTCACTAATCTTTTTTAATAAGTTTTCTTAGCTCTTTTTATATACTTACTTTTGTTCTCAAATTTCTTTGTATTGTGTATTCTTTGGGTAAAGTTACCTCTACCTCAGATAGGCACATTTGAAATGCTGTTGATATTGTATTACATTAAAATTCTCTTCTGAAAAGTTGTGTCATTTTGCATTCCTACCAGCAAAATATGAGAGTGCCATTTTACCAGCTTTGGCAAACAAATGAAGTTATAATTAAAGTGTTCCTGTTTGAGGCTGTAGGTGTCATTGATATACACTCTTATGAAGGCTTCACAAGAAAAACAATGTGACCACCACACTCACCCCCACCGAGTCCCCCCCACCATACCCCAGTGCAGCCACTGTCCATCAGTGTAGGAAGATGCCGCACAGTCCCTATTTGTGTGGCTCCAGTTTTATAGGGATAATATATATATACATTTATCTTTGTTTTAATCTCCAATTGTTGATTATTAATTGATTTTGAATATTTGGATTTTGCTCATTTTCATATGGGGTATTTATGTTTTAAGTGCTTTTAAAGTATTTTAGTAAACCTTTTGTGTTTTATCTTCCCTATATTTTAGTTGGCTATTTGCCTTTTAATTTTGTTTGGTGTCTTTTTATGTATTAATGCTAAACCTTTGTGAGATACGTGTGTAAAGGCAATTCTTTTCCTTACAGCTCTGCGTTTTAGAAAGATTTCATTCACTTATCTTTTGACATTTATTAAGTATAGATGTGCCAGATACAGATCTAATAACATGTAAAAAATGGGTCTTTTATTTTAGATGAGTTTTAGACTTATAGAAAAATTGCAAAGATAGTAGTGTTCCCATATACCTCTCACCTACTTTCTCCTATTGCTAATATCTTGTATTACTATGGTGCATTTGTCACAACTGAGTACCTGCACTGATACATTTCTATCACCTGCTCCATGTTTTGTTTCTGTTCCACTAGTTTTCCCTCCAATGTCCTCTTTCTGAACTTGGATCTCACCCAAGATATCCTTACTTGCAGTTGTCAGGTCTCCTTACTTTCCTCTAGTCTGTGAGTGTTTTTCAGTCTTTCCTTGTTTTTTATTATATTGAGAGTTTTGAAGAGTACTACTAGTGTTTTGTTGAATGTTCCTCAATTTGAGTCTGATCTTTTCATATGGTTAAATGGAGGTTATTTATATCAGTACGGATTCATGGATATTTATTTTATTGTTTGGGTTTCAAACATACTACATTATTTATTTTGTTTGAATTATTTCAACTTTGGCCATTTATTCTTTGATTTTTGCATGTTGACTCCTCTGTGTTCCTTTGTCATGCCCCCCCCTTTTTTTTTGTGCTACAAGATGCCCTAGCATATATTCTGAATTCCCTTATCTAGCCCTAGAACTGGCCATTTCCCCTAGAATTGGCTTGTAGAAACCAATATCTGGGTGCTGGGTGTGCTCACTGCTGCTGGGGCATCCTACTTCTAGTCCCTCTTAGTGAATAGAGCTAGGAAATACTATCTGTGTGTGTGTGTGTGTGTGTGTGTATTATACACACAATGCATATCTATAATTTCTCTTGTATCTGTGTATCCATATCAGTATTAAGCTAACCATGAGTTCACACTGATGTCTGTGACTCTAATGCAGTACCGCAAGGTTCATTCTAACCTCTTTCCCTTTGCTTATTCCCACTCCAAAATGAGATGCACCATCTAACTTAATTCCCACTATCTAACATTCACTTACTTATTTGTTCAGCTCCAGTATACACATAGTAGTTTTGAGAAATAACCCATATCCCTGTGAAAAACAAGTTTGCCAAACAAAGTACAGTTTTTAGGTATGGTTCCATTAATCTTTAGCCTTATAGTTTCCAATGAAAGCACCATCTTCCAAAGTTACTTATACCAGTTTCCTTTTTCACTCACAGTTCTGCTTTTGACACTATGCTTAAAAGACTTCTTGATCCAAAGATTGATTATATGCATACACTAGATACATGTATTATATATAATACATTATACATACAGTATTTTATTATTTTATTGCTTTGTTTTACCTTAAGTTCCTAAATATATATACAGTTCACTTTGTTACTTGATGTGAAGTAAAACACTATTTTTTCTTGCTTTTTTCCATTGCTTAAAATACTACCTTTATCAGATTTTTTAAATCATACATAGTTTTTCTGTTTCTTATTTTGTTTTGTACTTCCTTCTCATTCAAGTTCCAAACATTATATAACTATGATAATTTCAGTATTTGGTAGATTATTCCTTTTTGCCTATTCATGTTTACTTACTGTTTTAATTAATTGGTATAATTTCCTTTTCTTTATTTCAGGAACATTTTAGTGGATAAACCAAATGACCAATCATCAAGGTGGTCTTCAGAGAGCAACTATCCTCCCCAGGTAAGATTATGTGTAGCTACCATTTAGTTAAAATTTAAATAGGCATTTAATTGACATCAATTATCTGGAATTCATTAATAGTTTATTCAGTCTTTGAAATTGTGAGGTAAATTTTTAGTTCCTCTTTTTTTGCTTAAATTTTGGAAGAATTTTTATTTATAGGTATACACAGTATGGGATTTGAGGAACCATAGACTTTTAATTTCTATCTACTGGAACCTTTAAAATCTAGTAAGTATTTTTTTCTAAAATACTAATGTTGCACAACTAAGTTTCTTGATACTTTTTGAAGAAAATGCTAATGAAAAGAACTGGTTAAGTTGCTGTTACTGTTCTGGGAAGTAACTGATCTGAGCAGAGATTGTGACTATGTCCTTAAACTGAAGCCATGATGTAATTGTTTAAGGAAATGTTAGTAAATTGAACTTTCACTCAGTGACTCTATTTCCCTTTTAGGGAAAATTAACTTAATGTGTATTATTTTACTAAAGTAGTATATATAGATGATATTAGGATGACAAATTAAATTCTTTCCTTGACAGGTGGTGTCTGAGGTCATTTGAATTTTAAAATAATCATTCTTTCAGTTATACACTTTCAGCATTAACCTTAGTATATCATATCATTAAGGAAATTAATGCTGATGGGTAAAGCAGATGGGTAAATGAAACTAATTCTTGGAAACTTAGTCTCTACTTATTTTTCCTTTCATACTGGTTTTACTATCAACACTTTTTTGCATCACCTACTGTTTAAATGTCATTGTAAAATATATGCCCAAATGTGTGTGTGTGTGTATATATATATATATATTAATATATATTCATAATATGTACTTTATGTGTGTGTGTTTGTGTGTGTCTATATATATATGTATATATATATATATATATATATATATGTAGCATAAAGAAAAATAAAACAAATACCTATATACTTTCCAACCATCTTTAGAGATGGAAAATGACCACAACCTTTTGAAGCCTCCTATGAGCCCCATTTTGTATATGTCTTCTAACTCTACTCTACTATTATATCATGTTTTGTTAAGTATTTTCTCATGGTTTTTTATGTGTATGTGTTTATAAATATCCTATTACTTAAGTTTTGTCTGACTTTGACTATATAAATATAATAGAAATTTAATCACTCATTATAAATCTTGACTCACTTTATTTTGCTTAACATGATGTTTATTAATAGTGCTGAGTATAAATAGTTTGCTGATTTTCAGTACTGTATAGTATTAGAATGTATGGGCCATCAAGATGTATTTATATTGCAGTCTCTGGGTTTTTTATAGCATTTTGCTTTTATTAATAGGCTGCTCTGACCATTTTAGTACACTTTCTCTTGATAACTGTACAAGAGTTTCTTCAGGGTATAACTTAGAGTAGAATTGTTAGGTCATAGGGTATGTGCGTGATCAACTTTTATCAAGTAATGTAAAACTTGTTTTACAAAGTGGCTGTGTTATTTGTACTCTCGCTGGCAGTGTATGAAAGCTGCTGTGTGTTGATTCTCCCTGTCACTTCTGTAGCCTGATTTGTTTCAGGTGAGTCTTTCATTGTAACTCACTATAATTTTAATTTACTTTTTCTTGTTTACATTCAAGTTTCTTTGCATATGTTGATAGGTTTACATTGTGTATGTATTCTTGGTGGCCCCCATTCCCTAAGTGCACATTGAAATTGAATACATTATGTTCTTAATCGTGTTTTTATTATTCACTTTTTCATTTTACTTAATTTGAGCCCTCAAATTTGGTGTGTTTTTGTTATTTTATTATTCAATTAAAATTTTTCTTACTAGTAAATTATATATATATATATATATTTATTTATTTATTTTTTCTGTTAAACTGAAACTAATAACCTCTTTATTTGTTATTGGGAAGTATTTTGAAGGCAGTAGAATTTAATGTCTTTTTACTTATTTGCTTGCTTATTCATTCTTTCAAAAATTTAGTAAGTACCCACGATGTGCCAGCGTAGGTACTGGGAACATAGTGGTGACTAAACTATTGTCTTTCCTCTTGATGAGTCAAGAAATACCCTGAATCAATTAATATTCAGTGTGGTAAGTCCTAGAGTAGGTTGCCCAAAGTTTTTGTGATTGGAAAAGATTAATTTATTATGGAAATGAATAACATATGTTTTTCATCATTGTGATTACAACCCAAATGTAACTGGGATTCCATGTGGCTAATTTCAAAGAATAGCAGTCTTAGCAGAAAAAATATAATTGAAAATAATTTCAGTTTTTACTTAGTTTTCTAAGAAATTGTCATGTGGGATGGAATGAATATAATTTTAATGTATAGATATGTAGCAAGTAGTCTTGCATTTCTAGTGGTTGCAAGCTACATCTGTAATATTTATTTCCAACCCTTGTTCTGAAAATTCCTAAAAAGGCTGAATTTTAAAAATATGCATACATAAAGTTTATGAAAAGTTGGGACCCTAAATTGATTCATTCTCAGGATAAGTATAAAATAAACCAATCCCCACTTCTGGGGGAACTATGAGGAGACTTGTGTTGCTCAGTAGAGGAGAGGAAAATGAAGAAGAAAAACCATCCCTGAGAGGTTTTAGCCATGTATTGATCTCTAAAGATTCATATTTGGCACTCATATTCTCAATACTTGGCTCTTCAGGAAACCTCACGGTATGATTATAGTTTAAAGTGATTTTGGATATATAGTATTCTTAATGTTCTTAGGAGAAGCAAATTGCAGATCCTCTCTGGAGATAGCTACCTTCTCCCTAGGCCTCAGGTAGTCTCCATAAATCATTATTCAAGAGAAGTACATACTCAAAGATAACCAAATATACAAGGAGATAAGTTGCCTTAAGTAAGAATTAGGCAAAACAGTAGATCACAGAAACCTGCAGAAAACTTTAGATTCAAAAATTAAAAATATAAAAAGATACTGAAATTAAAATAATTTCATACCATTTTTTTTAATTTTTTTTATTTTTAGCATCCACACAAGTCTCAGTTTAATTTTTGAACTACACATGCTGAAAACAGAGACGAACTAGTCCCGTACTTTAGAACCACTCCCTGTAGAGGCAAGAGAGAGCACACAGTCTGATGTAACCAAGTGATTGCCCACAAAAACAAAAACATTGATATTTTCCAGATAAGAATAACAGGATGCAGAGTCAACACAATTTAACACTCACAATGTTCAGGATACAATCCAAAATTTTCAGCATACAAAGAACCAGGAAAATGTGACCAATTTTCAAAGTAAAATTAACCAGCAAATACCAACCACAGATGACTTAGATGTTGAAGTTTTCAGAGAGATTTTGAAACAGACATTGTAACTGTGCTCCCTGAGGTAAAGGAAGTATACTTGCAATAAATAAATGTGTAGTATTATCTGCAGAAAAGTGGAAACTGTAAAAAGAGGCAAATAAGACATCTTTTAGAACTAAAAAAATGCAGTATCTGAAATTACAAAAAAAAAATATTGAGACATAGCAGAATAGAGACAGTAGTGAAGAGAGTCTGTAAATTTAAAATAGTTTACAATTGTCCAGCATGAAGAGCATAAGGAAAAACATTAAAAAAATAACAGAGGCTCAGGCAGGCGTCTATGAAACAAAAACCAAAGATATAACTTGCATGTAATTGAAGCCACCAAAATAAAGGAGGGAATAATTGGGACCAAAAGAAAATTAGAAAAAACAATGGCAGAATATTTTCCAAATTTGTTGACAGAAAATAAATTTATAGAATCAAAAAGCCCTGTGAATCTCAGGATAAACTCAAACAAACCCATTCCTATACACATTGAAATCAACTGTAGGTATCTAAAGGTAAAAAGAAAAAATATTCAAGGCAGCTAGAGAAAAAATGATACAATAAACATTTGGAAAGAATGATTTGAGGGCTACAGTTGTTTCACTGGAGATCGTGAAGGAAAGAATAAAGTGGGACAAATCTGCAACTAACCTAACATAATTGAAAGTGAATTTTTCATACCATTTTTAAAGAAATAAAAGATATATATAGGGAATAGGAAACTTAAACCTTATACATTTCAAGAAGAATCAGATAAAATTTCTTTAATGAAAATTAATTTGACCAACCCTCCTACCTAGGAGGATGAAATTAAAGTTTTTGAAGGTGTAGTATATTGATAAGATGGAGAAGAGTGATGGGGCCAAGATTCAGGAGCATATAGGAACTCAGAGAGGGAAAACACTTTTCCACAGACATGTTTATTTCTAAAGAAATGGCTAAGATATTGAGAAGCTGAACGTGTAGTAGGTATGTGTAGCAGATACACCTCTTCTAGAGGAAGCTAATATCCTAGGCATCTAGTCATTTTTAGTTTTCCATATTTGATATCTACCAAAAACCCCCCATAAAACCACAGGACTTACAGAAAATGAAATCATAGGTAATAGGTTTTAAAATAATACCCTTACTGTGTTAAAAAAAGTTGAAAATCAATATTGAAAATTTTGGTAGGAAAAGAAACTGTAAAAAAAAAAGCCAAAATACAAGTGAAAACTACAATAACCAAAATTCCAAATTGTAATTATGAGGATTAAAAGGAAGTATGCGAAAACACTCCCTAAAATGTACTATGCTTTATGTAAACTGGCAGTATTATTGGAATAAATTTCTGAGAAAATAATTATTGCCAATAATATTAAAATAACATAAAAAATTAACTTTTTTAGTTCTGATAATAAACTACTACCTGACCTTATTTCAAAGCACTTAAGAGGTTACTCGGTATATATAAATTAATTCTATTATTGTAAATTTGGATAAGGAGAAACTATTTCATGGAATATTACCATGTAATTAGTATGGGAATTGTCTGTATCCCTCCATATTTGTTGTTCTTAATAATTCTGGGTTCTTCCTGTAACCATATGGTATTTTGTACTATTGGAAAATACATGCAAAGTATTGGTTTTGTTGCAAATAAATTTTGGTAGGTAAATTCACAAATGTAGAATCCACAAACAATG